CGACAACTAATTCAATCGAAACCAATTTGCCGACTGCGCCATCTAACTGAAACTTGCACCAATCGAAGCACTTAACTTACATTAGCAATTTATAAAGGTAAAGACTTGAAATTTTTGACAAAATTTGATATAATTTAATAAAAAAATGTTTATAAAAAAGACCAATGTCATTAGAAATCAAAAATATTATTAAAATTTGATTTAAAATGTTAATATTATAAATTTTAAACAAATTATATATTATGTATCACGATAAAATTACATAAGATTACTGTAAATGTTTAAAAACTTTAGGAATAATACTCTATTCTATTTCATTTGATTACTACGTTTAACAGATTTCCCTCTCGCACATCTTAATCGAAAGGAAATCTACCCATGAAAATAATAATCCTATTACGATACTTGGATTACTAATTTGAATAATTTATGAGTAACATGACTATCATTACCAATTCTGTTTTTTTGACCAAAAACGCGCATTGGTAAATTTTATATTATAACTTTCATCTTTATGTATATTATGCGAACCAACCATTTTGAAAAAAAAATTTACCCAATAAGGTCCGTGCGTGCCTTACATTATTATTTACCTCGATGATCCTTTTTTTTGGAAACGCATATCTTCCGAAAAATAAACATGCTGTGTTTCATACTTTGCCTTCAAATTGATTTAATGTTCTGTAATAGTTGTTGTACACAGAATGCGCTGAAATTATTTCGGATATCCCAATTGCGAAAATGTGCAAATATGCATTTATCCCAAATGATCACTTGGGATGTTTATTTGAGACTCCCCGAAGTTTTCATTTGGGATAGTTGCACATGTGGGGCAAGCGCATATCCCAAAGCCAAACCCCAATTGCGAATTCCTATTCGGGATATCCGAAATTATCATTTCGGACATTAAACGCATTTTGGGTTACAAACTAACCATGTTCCGAAAATGCAACTTCACATCTCCTTTTTTCTGATGGTAAATGAAAAAAAAATGCTTTTTTTTTTATTAAAGATGAAGTAATCTATATCAGCAATTAAAAAGTCTTTTAAGCATAAGGATTAAATGGACGTGAAGCATGTGAAGTTTTGGTAGGTTTGGTAGGGGAATAGGAAATATTAACAAAAGAGATGGGCCTAATTCTATCATTTGAAGATTGTGAAGTAGGAGGAATAGTGGCAACGCTATATCTATTACGATCAGTGTTGCTATCATCAACTGTAACAATATCATTTCTAACTAAAGTATTTCCAATTTCACTACTCCCAGGGGTAGGAATCGCTATCACATCATCATCACTCCGATTCCAAATTTTTCGATGTATCAATATACCCGCTACAATTATTATGATTGTACATGCTATTCCTGCACCAATCAATCCAACTATCAACCCAACCGAAATTTCATCACTTCTGTGTTGAGGAGTTGCCGTTGATGTGGAAACATTTGAATAGGAATACGAGCTGATCCATGAGTAATTATTTGTATCTAATATATATATATTTGAATTCATACTTGTAGGAGTGGTTAACTCATTAGTTATGTTACCTATTTGAAATAAAAAAAAATAAATTGGTATCGTTTATTTTGTGGATGAAATTTAATTTTTCAAATTTAAACAAAAAAAAAGTTTGAATTTACCGACCAAAAGCGACGATCATGTAATTCATGTAAAGATCGGCGGTGTGATGTGTTAAAGGAGGAGGTGGAAGTTCCGTTGCAGACATTGGATATGTTTGTATTGGTATTGACCATTCAAATGAGACAGTGTTCAACACTGCCAATACTGGCATTACCATTTTAAGTGAATCGGATATCCCTCCATATATTATGATTTTTCCATCCGATGTTATTACTGCCGAATGACCATGCCTCTTTTCTATTATCTCTCCACCCGCTATCTATAAAAATTATATAGATATTTTCTTTTAAAAACAAAAATAAATTTAATTTCTTTTAAAAACATGATATTACTTAATAATTACCTCCTTGTGCCATTTAGATTCAAATGTATGAAATAGTGAAATCTTTAAAAAATTTTTTTTTTATTTAAAAAAAATCAATTATTATTATTTAATGTTAAAAAAAATGGGCACATGTTTTTTGATGAATACCTCGTTCATTTCAACTAAACTTCTTGAAAATTGACCATTTTCTTCCTTTCTAACATAGCCACCAATAAAAGCTATCACACCACCATGTAACATGACAGAGGTATAACGAGCTCTAAGTTCTTCTGCAGGTATCAATGGTTCCCAACTAAAATCCATTGCGTTTAATATACGCAAGTCCAAAAACCATTCCCATTCACCCGAATCATTAAGTTTGTTCCCACCAAAAATATAGACTTTATTCCCTTCGTCTGAAATGATATCTACACCAAGTCTACTTTCCGGTTCCTCTCCTCTTATGGTTGGATTTATCCATTGTTGTACATTCACATCAAATACATTTATAGGACCATTTTTTAATCCTTTTGACACCCCACCAAATAATATTATTTGATCTTTTGAGGTCGTTGCACTTGCTAATGTTAATTCATTCATGTTGTTCATTATACCCATCCATGGTGGACTGAATGTATTAAAAGAAAGTTTCAAATCTAAATACATTATATCACTTGATGGATGTGATAGATCAGAAGCAGCAGACCCTCCTAATATGTATAAACGGTCTTTAATTATCGCTGATGAATGATCATATCTTGCATCTTTTACTGCTGATTCTACTAGAGTTAACGAGAGTAATGTGATAAAAAGTTGTATAATGCAGTTATGATACATGACTTTATATGGAAAAGGAAAAAAAAGTTGTATTATGGAGATATATAAGTAAAAGAAGGGGTTTCGGATGAAAAAACGAATACCTACACCAATTTCATACTATTTATATAAACAGATTATCACTTGATTGTCTATATATATTAAGTAAAACGCCGATTGTAGCCTCCGTAACAATTAACTTTTGTAAATAAGGAAAAACAAAAAAATATTTAGGGTTAGTAGTGTTGGAAATGTTGGAAATGTTACCCTTACCAAAAAAAATGATGCAAATAAAATTTATTTATTTTCATTTAATATGATCTTAAAATTCTCGCGTGTCGCAGTTTTTCTTTTTCAATTAGCTCATTTTACTTTAAACATTTTCTATAAAATAAAGGTCTAAAACTTAAAGGTTGTAGGTATTCATTTTATTTTAAAATCATTTGTAACGGAAAATAGCAAACGACTTCTATAATCCACTTTTGGAATGGATTTCCTATATTTCCTATGAGGTGAATCTCACGTGATTTCGCATCGAATCGAATCTTGATTTGAAAATTAGCGTCTTAACTCCTTTTAGAATATTTAAAGTTATCTTCAAAGAGTTTAGTAAATCTGATGGCATAATTAATAAATTGTTGCTAAAAAAAATAAAGAGCAACGATACCTTAATTCACCCATTGTAAAAGATAGTTGTGCCGCAGTAAGATCATCTTGAAAACGCCAACTTGCCAAATCCGGGGTCTCCTTTACATCAACAAATCACACAAGCCATTCCGAATATTTTACATGATTGTATATGATTTAATATAAGGGAAACACAGATGATCAATACAAGTTTAGTGGGAAACCAAACGGAAATCATTTTAACTGTAAATAAACAAATAATGAATTATAAATGGGCTGAATAGTAGGGAACTGTTTCAAAGTAAAAAAATATTTTTGTACATATAAGCTTGATATATAAGGGAAAATTTTCTATTATGAGTGAATTTATGTATCATTATATTACTTACAGGTGATTAGGTAATTTTGTGTTGATATATAAATAACCCAGTAACCAACATACATATTAATACAAATTTTTCGGGAGAAGCATAACCTCCTTTAAAAAAAAAAAAAAAAAAAAAAAAATTATTTTATATATATTTTTTCTTATATGGAACCAATTTATGTTTAATACAAACTATAGAGGCGGATCTCATCTAAATTAGAAAAATAGAAAAATTAAGTAGAATTAAATTAAAATCGATTTCAAATGGTTTCTCATAAATTCATTTATTTAATAACTATATATATAATAACGACATTAGCCCTCCATAAATTTTTAAATGTCATTATATTTACGGATGCACAAGAAAGAACATTTAGTCCAGAAGCAAGATATGCGCATACATCAACGTTAGTAGGAACAAAACTATTTTTCTTTGGTGGATTAATTCGATTAGAATCAAATGCTTCAATTATAGTGTCAACAAATGATGTCTTTTACTTAGAATTATCACAACCATTTAATACAATGTCACCACCTTGGATAAAATTAAGTGATATTTCGCCTTTACCGGTTAGGTTATCATGGGCAACGTCGTCGTATGGAGGTGCAAATAATAGTATGATCTTCATTTTTGGAGGTACAATGCAATCTATTAAGCCGGCTCAAGATTTAGATTCTAATGGCTTACTTTTACTTCCCGATTTTAAACATTTGATTTATTCTTTTGATACCCAATCATTTCAGTGGTCTATACCAATTATTTCTGGTGATGAACCTTATAGAAGGAGGGAATTATCTGCTGTTACTAATGATCGAGGAAAAATCCATTTTTTTGGTGGTAAAGCTGATAAGTATACGGGTTCTTCCACTGAAGGTGATTTCAATGAAATAAACGTGCTAGATAGTTTAACGTTAAATTGGGAGTTGGGAACGTTAGACGGTGCTCCTAACCCAAGGGATGGTCACACTGCTACGATCTTAAACAATGGTTTAATCGTCTTCATCGGTGGAAGAGAAATGGTTGGACCTGATAAAGATTTGAGGCTTGTAAATATGAGAGCGGTACGTGAATCAATTTTGGGCGATGTTGTAAAGTTATTGTTAAAAATCCATAAATTTTTTTCATTTTTTTTTTTGCATTTAGATCGATGTGTATGATACGAAAAAAGCTGAATGGTATTTCATGGTAAGTGTTTCAACAATGAAACAGATCATTGAATTGAAAGCTGAAGGCATTAACCTTTATTTTTAAGCAAGCCGCAGGACCATTAGTAGAAGGGAGAATTCTTCACTCTGCAGTGTTAAGTGAGCAAAAATATTACTTATTTAATCAAGATTCACCTCTTTTTAGAAGTTAACCAATTATGCATTGCAGTGCGGGATAGCAGAATAATCGTTTATGGAGGTGTAAACAATGAAATCGGCATATCTTCTAGTCCCGCACTTATTATATTAGATACTAGACCACAACCTTATGTATGGAGCATACCGAAAATTTCCGCCACAATATTGCCTCCTCCTCTTATCACACATACCGCCGCATTAGTTGGAGACTTTATGATCGTTGCACTTGGTATATATTTGATTAACTTTTTTTTTTTTAAAAAAAAAAAAAAATGGTTTTCCAGAAATTCCAAACTAATCATGTATATTTTTTAGGTAATATCACCAATCCAATTACAAAGGAAAGGGCTATAAATAGCGAAATATTTTTATTAGATATAAAAACCTTTACTTGGGTAAATCGATTTGAACCATATACCATAAGAAATCATTCAGTTCCCATTGGTAAATCACATCAGATTTTATTTATCGTTCTCTCTTTCCTTTTCTTTAATGCATTTAATTATTTACTTATTAACATTCTTTTTTTTTTAAAAAAAAAAAAAATTATAAATATAGTACTTATAATAGGTGCAGCGGTTGGAGGTGTTTTACTTTTGGTGGTGTTAGGATTTGTTATTAATTTTATTTATAAATGGCAAAAAATTAGAAGTATTAAGAAACGTAGGTCAAGTTTGCCTATTCCTGTTAACGACAATAGATATCATATTAGATAGATTGATAGATTAAAAAAAATATTAAAGTTAATTGTAAATAAATTCAAAATCGTTATAAATTTAAAATGGTTAATTTGTCATCAATAAGCTATATCTAATAATTATGTGATCCCTAAATCATATTTTAATGAGATGGTTCTATTTTTAATAATTTAAGGTCTTCGAAATCAAAACGAAGATATATTCCCACAAATATACGTGATTATATAATAATAAATTTTATTTGAATCACTTTTTGTATTATGATGATTTTTTCAGAAAGTAACGTTAAAATTACATTACATTGCTAGGAGTTTATGGTTCAAATTTTTTTAAAAAATCATTAAAGTAATTTTTCATTATTTACCACAGTCGTGTCTGTTGGTGGTATTTTTGATCAATTACAGAACGAGAAATTGTGATAAAAATACTTATTTACGAGAGATTATTTAACGTACATAACAGAAATGTGGTATCAATTATAATTCCAGATAAAAAAAAGAACTATTTCATCTAGAGATTATTTATTCTATAGGAATTAAAATTTATAAATATGGAACTGTCTAGAAGTATTGAACCTATGAGGATCAAAGGTTTTGTCATAGAAAATTCTAGAATGGATGATATTTTTTTTATTATTCATCTTTATTTAATCAAGGTACCAAAATTTGTTATATCAGTTTTAAATCCAAAATCAATGGCCATTCATTTTTTTTAAGAAAAAATTTTATTTATTCATAAAATAATTAAAGCGTGGATAATTCCTTTTAACATATGTCAAAAGTTGAAACCCTATTTTTCGGTTTCAACCTTTGACGGGATTTTTAATATATAATTTTGACTTTTAACGATTTTATAGTTTCGACAATTATAGTTTCGATGGTACCTTTGAAATCTAAATTTTTCGCTCAACAAAAGTAATTTTTTTAAAACTGCAAGTTAATGACTTCCAAAAGTATCCATAAATTAATTTTAAATTTTACTTTTTTTTTCTTTTTATTTCTTTAATATTCAAGGAGGAAGAGAAATTGTAATTAAAATAAAATAATTCAATATGTATATCCGCTAAATATTAATATTTAACGTAGAAAGTCGAAACATTTTTTTTTTGATATTTTTACGAGATACTTCATGTAAAATTTCTTATATATATATTTAATTTAATGGTAAATGCTCGCATTTGATTTGTCAATCGTATGATAAATTAATGAGATAAGTTAATTATTGGTACCAAATAGCTGCAATCATGAAATTGTTGTTAATGTTGATAAAAATAAGTCATTTGATTTATTTAAAACAGCTGCTGAAGGAGGAGTTAGCAATGCGCAAAAATGTCTTGTAAATTCGTATAAGCATAGTGAAGGAACAGAAAAAAATATTAATGATGCTATTATTGGTATAAAAAAGCTTTAGAGAATAAATGTCTAGAGACTTGGATAATCTTTTAATGCAACAAAAAAAAAAAAATAATAATAATCAAGAATAATTTTTAATGCAACAAAAAAAAAATATTAATAGTCAAGAATAAAATCAATTGTAATATAAATGAATTTTTATTATTTTTTTAACATTTCATATACCGAAAAAAAAAATTGGCAAGTACAAATCAATAAAGTTATTTACTTTGGAGTTCGAAATCTTTTTTTTTTTTAAAAAAAAAATATATATTCAATCAACAAACATTAATACTTACCTCTCTCGAAAATAATTTTAATTTTTGCACAATATTAGCGGTTTGCTATATATTCATGTAGTATATTTTAAATAAAACGATATACTTACTCAACTAATGATATTTAAGAAGCTATAATATCTCAAATATAGAGTTGATACGTGATTGGTCCCTTTTGTTACATATCTTATATTTGAAAATGTGTATTATGCCGTGGAACATAAGTTTGTCAATCAAATATATAAAGACCATCCATCCTCTCCTGACATTAAAAAAAAAAAATGTCAGACATAAAAGAATTGGCTGACTGGTTAGAAGAAAAAATTGATGATGAATATTTCAATTATTATGAATATTCGGAATTCAAGAATATACAATTAATAGGAAATGGTTCGTTTGGAAACGTCATGAGTGCAAATTGGAAAAGTACAGAACGCCTTTTCGCTTTAAAAATTTTTAAAAATGATAAAACTACAATAAACCAAGTTGTAAATGAGGTACCAATTTATAATTTTTCTAAATTATTTATCAGCGAATTTAAAATTAATTTTATGTTCAATACTTTTTTAGATAAGATTACATAAGAAAGTTGATATACATCCAAATATTTTACGTTTTTATGGTATTACAAAGGAAGAAACTGGTAAGTATTAAAATAAATTTAATTTTAATTTTCTTTTTAAATGAATAATTTTTCTTTATTGTAATTATTTTTATATTATTCAGGAGATACAAATCATCAAATAAAAAAATACTCTTTAGTTTTGGAATATGCCGATGGTGGTACGCTTTATTGTTATTTAACTAAGAATTTTAAGAACCTTGATTGGGATGAAAAATATCAGTTAGCTTTGCAACTAGCGAGTGCTGTAGAATGCATTCATGATTTTGACATTGTTCATCGTGATTTGGTTAGTAATTTACTTTGTAAATTGATTATTTTTTATTTTTTAACATTCTTAAAAGATTCATTTTTTTATAAAATTATAGCATGCTAAAAATGTACTTGTACATCAGAAAACTATTAAATTAGCAGACTTTGGTTTATCAAAGAAAATTGCTGAAGAATCGAGCAATGCATCAAAAATATTTGGTATGGTGCCTTATGTTGATCCAAAAGGTTTAAATGAACAGAATCAAAACTACAAATTGAATAAAAAATCTGATGTCTATAGTATTGGAGTCTTGATGTGGCAGATTTCAAGTGGACAGGAACCATTTTATATTGAAGGTGGAAATTATGATATAAAATTAGTTTTGGATATAATAAATGGAAAAAGAGAAGAAATTATTGATGGAACTCCTACTGAATATAGTATTATTTATCAAGGTAAATAATAATATTCTTTTATTTAAGACGAATTAGACGAATTCTAATATTTATTTATTTAATTAGAATGTTGGAAGTATGAGCCAGATGAGCGTCCAATCATACAAAATGTAGTTTCAAACATTAAAGCAATCATTTCTCTTGAACAATGTGATTTAATTATCAATGATGAAGAAGAAAATGATATATTTATAAAAGATGAATGCAGTGAGACAAACAAAGGTTCTCTTGATATAAATAAGGATTTAGTAATCGATTCAATGATTAATTCAATGAATATCGTTAAATCTGAAAGCAGAATAAGTTTAGATAGTCAAGGATCTTTCCAATCAAATGTGCTAGAATCTGAAAACAATCCTTCAAATTCAATTTTTCAAGTTATAGATTTATCAAAAGATTCCTTTGAGTCGATATTTATGAATGATATAACTATTAATAAGTTAATTAAATATGTGGTTAAGAAACATGATGAAGGAATTACTTTCAATCAAATTAAACATCTTATTGAACATCAAATACTGCAATTAAGCCAAACTAGAAACAATCTTATCAATTGGCTTGAAAAAAATCAAAATAAACAGCAATTTATTTGGCTGCTCGGTTTACTTTATTATATAGATGATAATAGTTTTAAATCATTTGATTTATTTTTAAAAGCAGCAGAAAAGAATTATTCGATTTCACAAGTTTATCTCGCTAAATGTTATTATCATGGATATGGAATTGAATGTAATAAAAAGTTATCATTTAATTGGTATCAGAAATCTGTAGAAAATGGAAGCATTATTGGACAATTTTATTTAGGACATTGCTATGAAGTTGGTATTGGAACTCAACAAAATAAAAAGAAATCAGTATATTGGTATCATAAAGCAACTAGTAATGGAAACGTCATTGCAAAACTTCATCTTGCAAATTGTTATAGATTAGGAAAGGGAATAGAAAAGGATGAAATTAAAGCATTTAAACTTTATGAATGTTTAACTAAACAAGAAATTGTTGACGCTCAATATCAACTTGGAAATTGTTTTTATAATGGATTAGGAGCAAAATTAGACAATGTACAAGCTTGTTATTGGTATGAAAAAGCCGCATATAATGGGCATGTGATTGCAAAACATATTCTTGAAAAATATTATAATAAAAAATTAAATCTTAATAAAAATAAAGGAAAGGATGCTAAGTTTTATAATATATTATATTCTGAAGGATTAAGGCGAATTGGAATCAATAATTATAATGGAATTGGAATAATACAAAACTATGAAAAAGCATTTAATTATTTTCAAAAAGCTGCAAAACGGGGAAATAGAATTG